CAACTTACGTTTATGAAATTAATAAAATGAACACATATATAAAAATTATATCAAACAAAAGAACAGGATATCGGCTTCCAAAATATTTTAAAATTATTACAAAATATTAAATAGCCACCGTATGACGGTAAGTTGAAAAAGGGTTACAAATCAGGAAAAAATGACTTTCTTCCAACGCGGGCAATGGAGCTGTGACACCTATTTATAGATGTAGAATATGACACAGATGATTTTGACATAAACAGAAAATCGAAAGACAAGGTAGTTAACAGCTTTGGAAGATCGCTTTTATCTATTTGTAAATCTTTTGATATCCACATGCTAAAAGGACGTGCACCCAATGATCAAGATGGAAATTTTACATTTGTTTCCCATGTCGGAAAAAGTGTAAATGATTATATAATAGCATCCACATCCCTGTATAACAATATAACTGGCTTTGAGATTGCAGACTATGATACCTCTGACCACTTCCCCTTATGCTGCTCTGTGAAACTTATGGCAAAGAAAAACCTAAAATCAAATGAAGCATCGAAACCATGGCACAGGCTTAAATGGAAAGTTGATCAAGCAGATAATTTTGTGAATAATGTTAAAAAGTATTTGAATGCTGACCTGTACTTTTCCTTTATAGAATGTAAAGATAGCGGGGATACCAATGGTATGGTTATATTATTACATGAAGCCATATCTAATGCTGCTAAACACAGTGGAATGATGATATGTAGAAATCCAGTAAAACTTCACACCACAGAGAAACAACCAATATGGTGGGATAGTGAATGTAATTTGAGTAAAAACAACAAATATATGTTACTAAACAGATGGAGATTGTCAAATACAGATGATGACTTAGCTAATTACAAAAAAGCAAGGAACAAGTTCAAAACTCTATGTAACATGAAGAAAGAAAACAAAGAAATAAAAGATGATCTGTCACAGATATTACCTATTAATACCACAGATACTACATGTAATGGAGAAGTTTGAAGAGATATACAAGAGGAACCAAAACTACAAGCAGTATTTCTCCAGATGATTGGTATACATACTTCAATGGTTTGAACAATACGAAATATGAACATGATCCAGAGTTCACAGAATACGTCACTAGATGTGTTGAAGATTATGAAGTTGACTGTGATATTAACAAGAATGAAGAGATGGATGGTTGTATTTTAGATGAACCGATTAATGTTAATGAGATAGAAAATGCCATAAATAGTCTACCCAGTGGAAAAGCCCCAGGTCCAGATGGAATTCTGAATGAGCACGTAAGGCATTCTATGCTCCTTTTGCTCCCACTTCTAACCACACTGTTCAACACAATCTTACAGAGTGGCAATTATCCAGAGTTGTGGTGTAAAGCCGTCATTGTTCCATTACATAAGCAGGGTGAGAAGACTGATCCTGGAAACTACAGAGGGATTTCTTTATTATCAGTCATAGGGAAAGTATTCACTAAAATCCTAAACACCCGTCTGTCTGAAATGTGTGAAGCCGAGGACATATTATACGAGGAACAGTCAGGTTATAGAAAAGGATTTAGTACCTCTGATAATATTTTCTGTTTATACACTCTGGTTCAAAAATACCTCACACGTAAAAAAGGTTGTTTCTATTGCTTATATGTTGATTTTTCGAAAGCGTACGACTGTATTTCACACTGTCACCTACGCTATATTCTGTTAAAAAATGGTATGAAGGGCAGATTTTTCCGTGTAATAACCTCCATGTATTCTCAACTTAAATCATGTGTCCAAACTGATAAGTTACTGTTGTCAGATTATTTTAATTGTAGCATGGGAACAAGACAGGGCTGCATGCTAAGCCCGATATTTTTTACTTTATTTCTGAACGAGTTACTAGAAATGTTAAATCTGAATAACTGTGTAGGAACCTATGTAAATGAATCTGTGGAAAACATTTCAGCACTATGTTATGCAGATGATATAGCGTCTGTGTCAGACACCGTCGGGAGATTACAAAAAGAAATAAATTGTATTAGTGAATTCTGTATAAAATATGGCATGAAAATTAATTTATCTAAGACCAAAATTATTGTTTTTAGAAGAGGTGGCATTATAAAGCAGTATGAGAAATGGTTCTATCAAGGGGAGGTAATCGAGTCAGTATCTGCTTATAAATATCTTGGTGTATTCTTTACACCAAAACTTTCATGGAGCAAATGTTGTAATCACTTAGCCCAGCAAGGAGAGAAGGCAATGAATATGCTATATGCTTTTTGTATAAATGAAAAACTCAGTATACTGAATTCATTATTTCTTTTGATAGAATGGTAATACCTGTCCTAACATATGGGTCAGATGTATGGGGATCTGAAACATATCAATGCATAGAAGCTGTCCATTTAAAGTTTTGTAGAAGACTCTTGTCACTTAATTCAAATGTACCTAAACTATCTATCTATGGTGAACTTGGTAGAAATCCTATACATGTTTTACATAAATATAATATGATCAAATATTGGCTTAAGATATGTTTTATGCAATTGAAACAGGTCGATGGAAAAATGTTGATAGAGAAAAAAGAATATGTCTATATTGTAATAACACTTTTAAAAATAGTATTATAGAGAATGAAATTCACTTTATATTTGAATGTCCACTTTATTCTAGTCTTAGAAAAAGGTATGATATTAAACAAAAGTTTTATAATTGTACGACGTCATATATTCAAATCATAAATAACCCATCTAGTAATTTAGCTGAATACATTGATATGGGTATGAGACTAAGGAAAAAGTATTTAGATAATTTACTCTAAATCACTTAGAAGTATGAAATGCTACTAAATCAAATACAACCCCTATGTTATCAGCGATTTATGCACTTTATTATATGATTCTATGTAACTATGTTATAATCATTATACTTATAACCATGCATACTGAATAATATCACATGTACTTTGGGCTGAAGGCCTGCTACTGTCATTTAAATAAACAAGCCAACAGTGAGGCTGATGTCCCCCGCCGAAATAGGAAAATAATTAGAGAGTTATTGTGTTCCAAAGTCTCAGCAAATCAAATTGCTTATCGCTCTGCTTAATCTGAGCAGAAAATGCTCATTATCGATCTTAGTCAAGGTATTACTGTAATGAAACTATACACCAAGTTTCATCACTCTCACTTAATTAGAACTAAAGTTATAGTGTCCCAAAGCATCAACCAATCAAATTGTTTATCTCTGCTTACCCTAAGCGGAACGGACAGACAAACAGACAGACGGACGAACCCATTTTAATAGTTCCCTGCTTTCTTCGAAAGGCGGGGGACAATAAGCATGAACATTTACTCAATTCGAAGATCAACCAATCAAATTGTTTATCTCTGCTTACCATAAGCGGAACGGACAGACAGACAAACAGACAGACGGACGAACCCATTTTAATAGTTCCCTGCTTTCTTCGAAAGGCGGGGGACAATCAAAGTAGGAGAGTTATTGTTTTCCAAAGTCTCGACCAATCAAATTGCGTATCGCTCTGCTTACCCTGAGCAGAAAATGCTCATTATCAAACTTAGTCAAGGTATTACTGTAATGAAACTATACACCAAGTTTCATCAATCTCACTTAATTAGAACTAAAGTTATCGTGTCCCAAAGCATCAACCAATCAAATTGCTTATCTCTGCTTACCCTAAGCTGAAAATGCTCATCTTCGAACTCCATCAAGGCATTGACCTAATCAACACATACACCAAGTTTGAACATTCTAGCTCAATTAGGAAGAGAGTTATCGTGCCCCAAAGTATCAACCAATCAAATTGCTTATCTCTGCTTACCCTAAGCGGAAAATGCTCATCTTCGAACTCCATCAAGGCATTGACCTAATAAACACATACACCAAGTTTGAACATTCTAGCTCAATTAAAAGTTATCGTGTCCCAAAGCATCAACCAATCAAATTGCTTATCTCTGCTTACCCTAAGCGGAAAATGCTCATCTTCGAACTCCATCAAGGCATTGACCTAATCAACACATACACCAAGTTTGAACATTCTAGCCCAATTAGGAAGAGAGTTATCGTGTCCCAAAGCATCAACCAATCAAATTGCTTATCTCTGCTTACCCTAAGCGGAAAATGCTCATCTTCGAACTCCATCAAGGCACTGACCTAATAAACACATACACCAAGTTTGAACATTCTAGCTCAATTAGGAAGAGAGTTATTGTGTCCCAAAAAGTGTGACGGACAGACAGACGGACAGACAGAAGGACAGACAGACGGACAGACAGACAGACAGACAGACAGACGGACGAACCCATTTTAATAGTCCCCTGCTTTCTTCGAAAGGCGGGGGACAAAAAAAAAAATAAAAAAATAAAAAAAAAAAAAATTAAATAGCTGACCCAGCTAACATTTATCGCTAATCACTGACATCACTACCGGAGACTGCCGACAAAAGGACTGACAATTTTACCGTAGGCATCGAGATGTTACTTGAAAATCAAGATTATGTGGGCGGAGTTATCGTCTGTCAATCAAACGATCGGCAATTCTCCGAGACAGTTGATGCCTATTTCTAGTCCAAACTTCAAACGGTGATAATTTTGTTCAGAATAAAGTAATTTGACTGAAATTTTCAATATCTTCTTTTTTTTTTATCATCTATTTTTTAACTGTTATATCAAGAATGACCAACTCTTTATTAAAATCTTAATTTAAGCGGTGGACACACTAGCCGAATCAATCGGTGTCGAAATTCGCCTAGTGTGTCCACTGTCATTCGCCCGAATCAAACAGGTTTGATATATTCGGTCGAATATTTATTAGGCCGAATTATATTTGCCTGGTGTGTCTGCTTCGGGCGAAGCATTCGGCTAGTGTGTCCTGTCCACCCATTCGGCACCGATCGATTCGGCCGAACGATTCAGCTAATGTGTCCACTGCTTAATGTATCTTTCATTGTTCGCCATCATTTTCTTCGTGGCAAGCCCTGTAATAACATAGGAGATATAGTAAACCTCATTGTCATACCTCACTCGAAATGGTCTCAAATTGTTTTTGAAGTTCCTGAGCAAATTCTAAATTATGAATCACTTGGTCATACCGTGCAATAGCCTCCTGTAATAAGAAAAAAGCAAATTTGAAAATTAAAATTTGGCCATATAATTTGGTAAATAACATACCCAGTTTTATTTTTAAAGGCTAGATACCAGTCACATTACCTGTATTGCATGTGCAGTTGAAATACTCTACCGTTTGTCCGACAAGCCTTTCATCAGCTTTTCCGCCGGCTTTTATATAGTAACTGTAGTGTTGTTATTTCTCAAAGTATTACAGAATGTTTTATTTATCGATGGCCCAAAATTTTGATGCTGGACGTTACTCATGCTAAGAAATTATTATTACAGCATATTTAGAGTGCACCCTTTCATATAACATGTTCAGGGACAGTTTACAAAGTGACAATATTATCATAAATAAACAAAAAGATTATGGATATGTTAACGATTGTATACAGAGTCAGTTAAAAGCCTGACCATAAGAGACTAGTTGAGCAGTTTTGGGCTTTAAAAGTAGTTTATCTGATGTGCGTAATGTTTGGCCAGGTGTATATTGAATTCTTTGGGACATAAAGATACGTTTTAAGTTTCATCAGAATCGGATAAAAATTGTGACCTCTAGAGGGTTGACAACCTTCGTATCACAGAGTAAAAATACACAGAGTGGCGACTGCTTCATTTGCATACAAAGTAGGTCGCGCACTGCATCTTGGGTTTTTTCTGTAATGTCACTAAACATGTCGGCTAAAGAAGACACTTTGCAGTTGAACAGAAGAAAATACTATAATACTATAGATAATATTACTTGTGGTAAACAATTTAAGTGTTAAGTATATGGTATGTTATATACCTTTCCAAATTTCATAACAAAAATATTATTTTGCTCAATTTTCGATTGCAATAAGCTTTTAATACAGAAAGCCTAATACTGTTATGCTATTCAAAATCACATTTCCCATTTTACTGGTAGGCCTTAATCCGACCAATAAAATATTTACTGACGCACTGTCACTAATTTTAAACCATTCAGTAATTCAAAATAATTTTAATTTACTGTCATTATCTAGTAATAGTATGCTGTATGGTAAACTTCAGTTTTCATGGCAGATAATTCCATAAGTACACAGTATAAACTAAATTTTCTATTTCTAAATAATCAGTTGACAAAAAAATTACAAAAATAAAAGAAACTCTGAACACAGATCAGACCTAATGTCATGGATATCTTGAGCAAACTTCAGATTTATAATAATTTAATATATTCTTGTGTAGTAGTGTAAAATGGATAATTTCGAAGTATTAGGGGGCCTATAAAGTCCGTCAAAACATTACATGACACCCAGAGCAACATGCAAAGTATTCATTCTAAAGTTGTTTTTGGTTTATACTTGTTTGTAAAAAGAGAAACCAATCAACTCAAATAATGTTTATTGAAAAATTTTATAGGCCTATTTCAAATAGAATTATCGTTAATTATTTTTTTTTTTTTTTAAAAATGAAAGCCTACATTAATTAATAGAACAAAAATCATAAAAGCACACAGTGAGTCAACGTTGGGGCCAAAGGTGTTTTATCTTGGAAAACAACCAACGGCTCAAATCTGTTTATTGGAAAACGTTATATGCCTATTTGAAATACGATTTTAATATTCTTAAATTATTTTTTTAAATTTTAATGAAAGCTTACTTTATTAACATAACATTAATAAGAAAATCACACAGTAATAAGCTCTAGAAGACAAAGGTAAATCATGCTGATGTTGAATAAAATAGGCCTTATCCAAAAAAGGGCGTGGCACTTTGACATTTTCAAATGGTCCATTTTAAGGTGTATGGAAATTACATTTCAAATCTAGGAATCGAAACAAGTATTTGGTGGCTTAGTTTTAAAGTTAATAACTTTTTAAAATCGACAATAATTTACGGCCTTATAGGCCAATTCATAAATCGTCACAAATGCCGGCTCTCACTTCATTCCGGGCTGTACCACGCTTTATCTATGCATGTTTTCAGGGCTTGCCACGAGACGCGAGCAGTTGGTCACGCTCGCGCTGTGCTCGCGTAAATCTACATTTACGCGAGCGGTTCGTTGCTCGCGCAAAATTTTAAGAAAACCCTGTAAAAATAATCAAAATATTGACAAGTTTATTGCCGAAACTAAACCAACAATGTCAATAACTTCATAAATTCGTCTGTCAAACTGAGATTCACCCAGCTGCACGCGGCATTTCCTCCTTAAATTTGATTGGCTAAAAAGTTACTCAGCACTCTTGTTACTAAAAATACACTTTAGACCTGAACGTTATGACTGGTTTTCCTACGAACACCAGTAACGAACGCGTGATAATCGAGTCTAAAGTGAAGAATGTTTACATCCGGCATTAGGCATTCACGCTAAATGAACACGTTTCAAACTAATATTTATCGGTATTTCCTATTTTATCAGAACTTCGGTTTTTATTCCATTGTGCAGTCGTATAATTTTCAATCTAAGCGTAATAATGGCCAAAGGCAACCTGATTGCCCTATCCACATTTATTTCGTGGGGTGAAGAAATCCATACGGAAATTGGTTTTAATAAAGAAGAGTACGTATGACTGTCAAAAACAGAAAGCGATGGTCACACGTTTACTGCAAACTTTGTGCCAGGAATAGCAATTTTCTTATGATTTTAAATTGAAACAATGTTACAAAATGTGTGCTCACGCAAACAACATTTTGCGTGAGCAATTTTTATTGCTCGCCTCGCTCGCCCAAACCTAAATTTGCGTGAGCAGTCATCTGCTCGCCATCAATTTATTCGTGGCCAGCCCTGTGTTTTAAAAATTAAATATGAATCATGTTTTATAAATTCCCGAAAAACACACACAACTAACGTATGATTGTATGTGATAATTCTCGGTAGTTTTGTTACCGAAAATACTATAAAACTACGAAATTAAAGAGATTTAGTTCATCGATATAGATATCGTAACGTCGTTGAGCGAAATGTCAGTGAGTGTTTATTACAGAAAATTCCCAAGATGCATTGCGCGTCGCTGTGTGACTATGGGCTGTAATGCGAGTCGCTACTCTGTGTATTTTTACTCTGTGTTTCGTATTGCATACTTTTACACAATTTGCGTACAAAGAGCGGCCATTTTGTTGGGCAGTTTCATTTCGATTTTCCCGAAATTCGAATTCAACCTTCATTATGGTGGAATGGTGATGTATTTATACAGTTTTTAAAATCAAACAATCAGGGCCCATAATCCAGGAAGTTAAGTTTAGGTAGCCACGATTATCAAAAGGAACCAAGATCTTAGTGTGTAATGGTGATATATTCACCCTTTTTTTTTTAAATCTGATAAAAATTGCGACCTCTACTTACAAATGTAGACCACAAGTTAAAGTGATTTTTTGTTCAATCAAGGGCCATAATTCAGGAAGTTACGATCCAATATGCTCGATTATCGAAAGGAACCAATATCTTTGGGTTATACACATGTATTTCAAGTTTCATCGAATTGGATCAAAATTGTGACCTCTAGCCGGTCCACAACCTTGATTTACCAGATGTTTACACTATTTGCGTAAGAGGGGCGTCCATTTTGTCCGTCAGTTTTGACCTGATTTTCACGAAATTCGAACTCAACAGACATTACGGTGGTACGGTGATATATTAAATGTTTTCTTAAATTGGATAATAATTGTGACCTCTAAAACGTGATTTTTCGTACAATCAGGGACCATAATTCAGGAAGTTAAGGTCCGATATGCGCAAATATCAAAAGAAACCGAGGTCTGTGGGTTATAAACATATTTCAAGTTTAAAAGAAATCCGATAAAAATTGCGACCTCTACAGTGTTCACAAGCTCAAAACATGATTTTTCGTACAATCAGGGGCCATAATCCATGAAGTAACAGTCCGATACATGCCAATATGAAAGGAACCGAGATCTTATGGAGATAAACCTATATTTCAAGTTTCATTGAAATCGGATAACCAGCGGCTGCCAGGCAGAATACGCCCACATTTTCAAGAGACAGATAGAGAACAAGCTAAAAAAGTAATTTTTCCTACAACCAAGGGCCATAATTCAGGAAATTACAATTCAATATGCGCAAATATCAAAAGGAACCGAGATCTTTTGGTTATAAACTTACATTTCAAGTTTCAACAAAATCGGATAAATATTGTGACTTCTATAGGGTCCACAACCTTGATATACCATATTTTTACGCTATTTGAGAACGAGGGGCGGCCATTTTGTCTGTCAAGTTTTGGGCCGATTTTCACAAAATTCAAACTCAGCCGCCCTTGGGGTGTAACAGTGATTTGATAATACGTTTTTTAAATCGCATAAAAATTATGACCTCTATAGGGTCCACAAGCTAAAAACGCGATTTTTCGTACAATCAGGGGCCATAATTCAGGAAGTTACGGTCCGATATGCGCGAATATCGAAAGGAACCAAGATCTTTGGGTTATAAACTTACATTTTCGAGTTTCAACAAAATCGGATAAAAATTGTGACCTCTATAGGGTCCACAACCTTGATATACCATATTTTTACTCTATTTGAGAACGAACGGCGGCCATTTTGTCTGTCAATTTTATACCGATTTTCACAAAATTCGAACTCAGTCGTCCTTATGGTGTAACGGTGATATAATAATACAGTTTTTTAAATCGGATAAAAATTATGACCTCTATAGGGTCCACAAGCTAAAAACGCGATTTTTCGTACAATCAGGGGCCATAATTCAGGAAGTAACGGTCCGATATGCGCGAATATCGAAAGGAACCGAGATCTTTGAGTTATAAACTTACATTTCAAGTTTCAACAAAATCGGATAAAAATTGTGACCTCTATAGGGTCCACAAGCCAAAAACGTGATTTTTCGTACAAACAGGGGCCATAATCCATGAAGTTTCGATCCGATACATGCCAATATCGAAAGCAGCCAAGATCTTTTGGAGATACACCTATATTTCAAGTTTTGTTAAAATCGGATAAGAATTGTGACCTGTAGAGTGTCCACAAAAAAATAACAGACAGACGGACGTCCGGACGG